TGCGGCCGCGGCTGTGCTGGTGGGTGTCGCTGAGGAAACGTGTCTCTCTCTGCAGCTGAACCCGGACGTGAACGTGTTCCAGCGTAAATTCGTTAACGAAGTCAGGAGGTGTGAAGAAATGGACCGAAAGCTAAGTACGTTTCTCTCTGGATTTTGATACGGCTCTAACTCTGTAGCTTTTACAGAAAAAATCAACCCGAGCCACACGTGCAGGGCAGCGTCAGAAAACAAAGCTCCGAGTTCGGAGCAGTGAAGGCTGCCTTTCTTCTGTGTGTCAGCCAGCCAGACTGCCTCCAGGATTCGCTTCCTGCTTGAAGGATAACGTTAGCCAAGTCAGAGGATCGTGGGTAGGAGGTGAAAGAACTCACGGCTGCTGATGGGGCTAGGTGGAGGTTGCGGTGACAGTTTGACACTGAAGTCTTTCTTTAGTTAACATTAACAGTGTTGTCTCTCCAGGGTTTGTTGAGAAGGAGATTAAAAAAGCAAATATTCCTATCATGGACACTGGTGAAAACCCGGAGGTGCCTTTTCCACGTGACATGATTGACTTGGAGGTAATGATGTGTGTTAAGACCCAAGTAGTATTTGACTCTAGATGGAAACAGGGGAAACTGTCTCCGTTGGTAGATACCCATTGAATTTAGCGGCAAAGGTGCACTAACCATAGTCCCCAGCTGTCACTTGACATGCTAGCTCTGCTAGCTCACATCAGGTTGATTTTGATTTGTTTTGCTTGTGCATTTATCCAAATACAGTTAGAAGTGAAAGTACTTAAAAGACATTTCACCCATTTAAATGAGTCAAAAACTGTTGGAACTGCATGGTTTGTGGTGGGTTTGTCATAAAGTTTATCAGGGTTTTTAACTATTTGAAGAACACTGTATAAATCCAGTCAGTAAAAGACTGGCCAAGTATGAAAAGTTTCAAGTTGCCTGAAGAGAATGTCACAAATCTGGATCTGTGTGCCACAGCAGACTGGAGACGCATCTGTAATTGTATGCAAATTGTGTGGAAATGTAAAGCATCTTGCCTGCTTTCTTGTTTTAATAGACTTAACAGCACTTATTTATGGAATTGCTTTAAGTCCTTTTTCTTTCTTCTTCTTTTCCCATCTTGCAGGCAAACTTTGAGAAAATTGAAAATGAGCTTAAAGAAATCAACACAAACCAGGAGGCTCTGAAGAGGAACTTCTTGGAGCTGACGGAGTTAAAATTTATACTGCGTAAAACTCAGCAATTTTTTGATGAGGTCAGAATACTGGGGGCGGGTTAACACTTGGGCAGCTGGTTCTTCTCCCACAAATTACCATCTTTATTCTCAAATATACTTTTAGTTGCTGTTTTGGACAGCAGGGTCATTTTTACGCTTTGTTTAAGAAAGCTTCTCAAATTATTTTCCATTTTTCATGCAGTACGCATAGCTACCCATGATTTACCTCTTATGATGTTGGTTTTGGGTTTGGTTTTTTTTTTTTTTTTAGGTAAGCAATGGTTTGTCTAAAAATCGTGTAAAATAATTAAGATGCTAGTAGTTTTTAAAGCACATCAACAGACCAAAAATTTTGTGCTACAGTGAACACTTTCTTCAGCGGGTAAGAGTCTCTTTGGTACGTATGCAGATAAGCAGTCATGCCTCGCTTACACAGAGGAATTACAATCAAGCTTAATTTCTCTTCAGCCTCTGAAATGTTATATGGAGATTACTCATTAGGGTCATAGGACAAAGGCCACTGAAGTAATAGATTATTTATTTATTTGTTTGTTTGTTTGTTTAATGGAGCCTTTGCTCAAACCCTAAAGTTTTCAGAGGTAAGTTCTGGAGCAAAGCTGCCATTTAAAATCTTCAACATTTTGCCAAATACCAGCTAGGCCAGAAACTGGCAACTCTTCCACTAGACCGGAGAAGAGCTTCTCTGATGTCATTCATGATACAGACATAAAGCCTGCATGGGAGAAGTAGTCGTCCTTCGTTGTAAAGCTTAAGTATCTCAAAGTCTAGGGAATTTTCTCAAAGAGCTCCTTTATGTTTTTTAGAACAGTAAGGACATGTTTTTGCTGAGTACATGTCCTGTTTCTTCTAGTCCAAGGATTTGATCAAAGAGGTCTTAACGGGTATGGCTTCTGGTCTTTACAAAGGCTGTGATCAAGTAGAGCTGGGCTCCTGCAAACTTCAGACCGTTTATCTCACGGTTTGGTTTTTGTTTTGTTGGCACAGGATGCTGCTTGTTCAGGCATTAAGGTTGTTCCCATACCAACACAAGTCTTAGTCACTGCTGACATAGATACTGCTGCTAGTGTGATCAGTTGATTGGTCGTGGGGTTGGTTTTGGTACAAAAAACCTCGTCTTTGAGTGTTGAATGTTCACTTACAAGTTACTGGGTCCCCTTGGACAAACAGCGTTAACCTGATAATCTGTTACTTGGCTGCATTAAGGTGCCACTGCCTGCCTGTTCCAAGTATTGAGTAAAACCAAGTACAGCTAGTGCTGTGCGCTTTTTTATTAATTACTGTCCTCTCTGGTGAGAGCTGCCTGCTGTTTTTCTTCAAGTACAGTATGATTTTACTAAATTTAAAGATCAAAATCAATTTTCTACTGAAACAGTCTACGTCAGGTCATCCACGAGAGGGAACTCATGTCAGAGTTAAATGAACTGGCCACGGAAAGTTTAGATGTGTTCCTGCTCCTGTTCGGTAACTGTTTCCTGTAATAACAAAGAACAACAAATAAAATGTACTGCTACATGTAAAAGCAAACTGAACAGCGGGTGTGAAGTTCAGTAAAACATAAGTGTTGAAAATTTGAACCTGTTTCAGTTCACACTGTAACCAGCAAACAGCTGGGCGTGAGAGATCCTGGCTGGTCCAGGGCTTCAGAGCCTTGTGCAGTCTGCGTATTATTCCGAAGTAGTGAACGCTTCATTTCTTCATGCTGTCATTTGCCCAGTACCTTCAACACTTGAAGACTTCAATAACTTGTAATTAAGAATGTATTATTCATAGTAATAAGTTGCACAAGAAATGGCTAACTATCCAAAGTCCTTTATGCTTGGCATTTGCTCTGCTCCCCGGAGTTTGTGCGCTGGGGAAAGGAGGATGGCAAAATTTCTGCACTTGTTCTTCATGTGACCATTCTAGTCAAAGTAGCCATTTCTTGTTTCAACATACCATGTTGATGATTATGCTCCTTTTCTCAGTCTTCTTGTCTTTGCTTATGAAGAACAGTATGAGCTGGAGAGATTTCTCTGAAAGTTTTGCCTAGAGTGTGAGCGTAAAAGAAGACTGGAAAAGTAATGGTTAATGGCATGCAGTCCCCTGTCTCTCTTTCCTCTAACTCTTCTCGCCATCTGCTTTTTTTCTGTTTGTTTTGCATCTGTCATTTCTGTCTGGACTCTGGATTAATAAGTTAGATGGTGAAATGAACCCTTTTTAGTTCTTGTGAAAACTGATTTTTGTTTTGTTCGTGAACTGGAGGGGGCTTGAATTGTATGGCACTGTGTGTAGCGATCCAGAGCCGCTACAGAGCAGAACTATAATCAAGAGTAGGGAAAATGAAGCTTTTTTTCCAGGCCTTGAGATTAAAGGTGCTGATCTGGGTGAACAGTAAGCACTTTAAAGATGTTTAATAATGAAAGGTCCGCATTCTGATTACTGATGTGCAAATGCTTGGGTTTTTCCAATCCTGAACGATCTGATGTAGTAGAAAATACTTCACAATAACTATGCTATTTCACTTGCTGCTGGTGAAAACTCTTATTCAAAGTAAATTTCCTAGAATCTTGGGGGTTTTTTGCATTGTAGCTGGATAGCTCTTTCATTTCCACATAGTCTCTCAATTTTTTACTTCTGTTAAATCTTACAAAACTTCTTTAGTTATCCTTCCAGAACCAGAGCTGATGTTGCTATGCCGTTTCCTTTCTAGAAAGGGTGTGATCATCAAATCAAAGTAGTTGAGAGATGAGTTTAAAGAACGTAGGGTTTTGTTATGCAAATAATACTTGTGTAAGAAAGTTCTTGTTTAGTAAAAGTGGTCTAATCCAAATTGATTCTAAGATGCTTCGTTTTGTAATTTCAACCCCTCTAAGCAGGACTTGTCTCTGTTTTATACAATGTCCTGAATAAAGGACGCGTAGCCCAAAAGGGTCAGAGGTAATATTAAACATCTATAAGAATTACTCTCTCAAGTGAGGTGGATCCAAAGTTTTCACATGTGCTATCCTTCTTTTTTTATGTTTCATATGCTAAAATGTGGTGCGCCTCACAAAAATTATCACAGAGACTGTCTAGATTACCGATAGATACAAGCCTCTTATAATTGTAACTTTATCTTATTGTTTTTCAACATCCTGAAATCTAGATATCAAATAATCACTGGTATGTTTGGTCTGTATGTTTTGTTTTGGGGTACCAAACTTTATTTTGGTTGTGTTCTCTATAAAGCAAAATTTTCATTCAGTTTTTGATAGTGCAACAAGTTGCCTTAAAGTTGAAAGGATCAGAAATTCTTCATGTTGGCTTTCCAAACTAAACTAAGGGCTCCCTTACTTTTGTAACATCTGTAAGCTAAAGCAAGTGTGTGTACAAGCAACTGAGCTGCATTTGATGTCAGCCTTGCGAAAACTTTTCTTGTGTATGGTAAATACCTTTATTTGACACGCAAGTAAAACGTTGTAGAGTTTCACTAAAATTATGATGCAACTATTGCACAAATAAAGAAACTATGGCTGAGTCATTAAACTTGCTATATACTTTTGCAAGGCTGCACTGTATGTGTGCATGCATTTTACATGTTCTAGGGTCAAACTCTACCTTCAGGTGTATTTTAGCAAGTTCCCTTGGTAGCTCTGTGGGGAAGACCTCCTGTATACCACAGAGGGTAGAATTTGGCCCTCTGTTTGTGCTAAGGAACTGTAATTTTTGACATTTCATTATATAAGCTGCAGAGGTAGAAATAACTGTGACACGGGGTTGAATGAAGTAGGAAGATGGTGCGCAAGAGGATGTGATTTGAGCATCCTTCCTGACTTGAATTGCTGACACTTACAAGCTATATTCCCAAGAATTGTAGCCTGCAAATCAGTTGCCATGAAGGACAGTATAAATCCACATCCTGTTTTAGTGCCTAGCTAGTCAAAAAATGAGCAACATCGTCAGACTGCCCTAGGCAATGCATCTTATGTGTCTGGCAATAATAAATATCGTGAATAAGGATAAATATCTTGAATAATTAATAGATTTAATCAGCAAGCATGTTTTTAAGCTGGAAGTATTGTATGTGGAGGGAGAACTTTATAAAGCCAGTAAAGAAAATTACCATCCAGTACTTCCAGGTTTTGTTACTGATTCTGACCCTGTGTCTACGCTGATGTGGCAAGTAACATGGAATCAATCAAACTATTGTCACGTAATTCCGAAATGAATGAGGTATTGCCTTTGCTTTGGAGTGTGGCAGGAGGCTGACACGTATGGGGTACGCAGGTCTTGCATAACTGGTTGTAGGGTTCCAACCTTGTGAAGTTTCAGGCTGCCCTAAGGCCAGTTAAACTGTCTGTGGAAGACTTACCTGCGCCTCGTTCTTCCTGTTGTGTGTAACAAGACTCCCAGGCTGCTTTACATGCAAGTACAATTTCCCAGGCACCTCTTAGAAACACCTTTTGCATCTTTAATATGCAGAAAATGCACAAGGAGTGCAAGAGGGAATCGGCATCTACCTTCACATTTTTCTCCATTTAAGGT